AACTTAGGAGGTGATTTGACCACTTCTAGCTGCATCCGAGCGAACTCATGAATCAACTGACGCTGTTGAGTGATCATACAAGTCAGTTCACCCTTTCCCTTCCGGCTAATGGCATCGGCAACTACGTTCGCCTTGCCAGGATGATAGTTAATGGTGCAGTCATAATCATTCACTAGCTCCAACCATCGTCGTTGGCGCATGTTGAGCTCCTTCTGCGTGAAGATATACTGTAGGCTCTTGTGGTCTGTGTAAATCTCGCAGTGGCCTCCGTACAGATAATGCCTCCAAATCTTCAGAGCGTGAACCACTGCAGCCAACTCAAGATCGTGAGTCCGGTAGTTCACCTCGTGCGGCTTTAGCTGACGGGAAGCATAAGCCACAACCCTGCCATCTTGCATCAAAACACAGCCTAAACCCTACTTCGAAGCGTCACTATAGATAGTGAAACCCTGTGTGGGGTCCGGAATAGTCAACACGGGTGCCGTCGTAAGCCTCACTTTGAGCTCCTGCAAGCTCGACTCACAACGACTATCCCACTCAAACTTCATCGATTTTCTCGTCAAACGGGACAACGACAGAGCAATCTTCGAAAACCCCTCGATGAAACGTCTATAATATCCTGCCAAACCGAGAAAACTCCGAACCTCGGTGGCATTTCTTGGTTTCGACCAGTTTCGAACTGCTTCAATCTTGCTTGGGTCTACCTCAATTCCTCTGGATGTGACGATGTGGCCTAGAAAAGCCACTCGATCGAGCCAAAATTCGCACTTTGAGAACTTGGCGTATAACTTCTCACGCCGAAGAGTCTCCAAAACGGTTCTCAAGTGCTCCTCATGCTGCTCTGGGCTATTGGAATAGACCAAAATGTCATCAATGAAGACGATGACAAACTGGTCCAAAAATGGATGGAAGACACGGTTCATGAGATCCATGAATACCGCTGGCGCATTGCTTAAACCAAACGGCATCACAACAAACTCATAATGACCGTACCTGGTTCGGAAAGTGGTCTTGGCCACGTCGGCCTCTCTGATTTTTAGCTGATGGTAACCAGAGCGAAGATCAATTTTGGAAAATACACTGGCTCCCCTCAACTGATCGAATAAATCCTCAATTCTGGGAAGTGGATACTTGTTCTTCACCGTCAACCGGTTTAGATCCCGGTAGTCGATACACATAGCATAGACCCATCCTTCTTCTTAACAAAGAGGACAGGCGCTCCCCAAGGTGAAACACTCGGTCGGATGAAACTGAGACTCAACAGCTCCTGAATCTGAGCCTTCAACTCCTGAAGCTCTTTCGGCGCCATGCGATACAGCGCTTTCGACACGGGTCCCGCTCCGGGGACTAAGTCGATTGTGAACTCCACCTGGCGGTTAGGTGGTCCTCCCGGAAGCTGATCGGGAAAAACATCCACAAACTCACGAACAATGGGTATATCTCCGGGAAACAGGTTCTCCGAAGATTCCCCAACAATGTTGACAAGAAATCCCTGACAATCCTCTCTCTGCATGTACTTCGTTGTTTTCGCCATGGAAATAACGTGCGGTAGGGTTCGAGACTTCGTCCTGAAGAACGTGATGTGGTCTCCCTCGGATAAATGTAGCGTCACCTCCCGGTCACGACAACGGATGTCTGCTTGGTATCTCGCCAACCAATCCATGCCTAGAATTAAATCGAAGTCATTCATATCAATCATAAACGCGTCTACGACAAGAGCTCGACCCCCGATATCGATGCTAAAGTTCTTGGCCAGGGAACTCGTAACTATCTTCCTTCCCGATGCGAGACTGATCTCGAGAGGGTCAACAGTACTCACTCCCTGGACCCCTAAGGCAGACAAGCACTTGGTCGAGACGAATGAATGGGTCGCCCCGATATCGAATAAAGCGAAGACTGGAGTATGAAACAAAGATAACATGCCAGACATGGTACATGGCTGCCCTGCGGCCTGGTCCTGGTCAAGCGCGTAAATATGGGCGGGTGCTCCACGTTGCTGCTGCTGTCCTGGGGGTCTCTGGGCTGGCTGTCTCGGTGTTGGCTGCCTCTGTGCGGGCTGTCTCTGGGCTGGCTGTCTCTGGCCGTGCTGCGGCTGAGGGCAGTCTGGGCAGTCTCTGCTCAGATGTCCTGGGCGGCGGCAATGGTAACATATGTTCTGCCCAGCTAGGCACTCTCCGCGGTGCTGACGTCCGCAAGTAGCGCAGGCCGGCAGATTCTGTCGGGCTGGCTGGCCCACCTGAGTTGGGCCCCTCTGTCCACGGTTCCTCTTATCCTCACGATCGTCCCACTTTCTCTTGTTTTTCTTTTGAGCTGGCTGGGGTGGTGCTGGCTGTCTGGCTGGCGGCTGATCAATGGCATCCCGCTGGATATACGCCTCAACCTGCTGAGCTCGCTCAACAGTCTCGGCGTACTCAAGGTAACCATGGCTGGCCACCAACAGTCGGATGTCATTCCTCAATCCCTCGAGGAACTGGTGGGCCTTCTTTTCCTCTGAGTCTACAAGGTGTGGAGCGAAGACACTCATACGAGCGAATTCACGCTCGTATTCATCCACCGATCGCTGGCCCTGCTTGAGGGCAGAAAACTCCCGTACCATCCTCTGACGAAAATGGCGAGGGTAGAACTTATCCTCCATGAGCGTCTTAAGCTGCGACCATCTCGTGGCCTCACGCTCATCCTCGGTGCGGAGACGCCAGTAATCCTCCCACCAATCTCCTGCGGCACCCTCGATCTACAGTTCGGTGCAAGCCATCTTATGCGCCTCAGAAATACCCATAATACGAAAGATCCACTCCATTTTGCGAATCCACTCGGCCACGGCTAGCGGGCCATTCTCCCTAAAGAAACGGGGCGGATCATAGGTACGAAACCGACTGACCACAACAGCCTGGTCCTGCTCGACTGCGACTTGAGGATCTCTGCGTGGCGGCATTCTGGAGATCCAAAAATACTTGAATTGATCAGTATAGCCAATTAAGAAATAGCCATACTAGACTTGAGATAATAAAATAAAAAATAAAGTCCGAAAACACCTAGCTTGGCTAGAGTTCCGGTATACTTAAACTTTATATGTTCTGGCTCAAAATGGAGTTCTGACTTAGTCTAGAGTCCTTGGACTTAGCTGTTCTAGAGTTCTGTCCAGAGTTCTGCCTCTAGAGTAATCTGTCTTACAGGAGGATAGTTATCTAGGCCCCATACTTAAACTGAATTTAGCACTTGCAACACTTAAACTGAGTCAGGTGACTTACCTCGGAGCCGGTGCGGGATGAGCGTGGCGTGGTCATGCTTTTCTAACTTTGAAAGTATACAGAAATGCACTCTGCGCTCTGATACCAGCTTTTGTCACACCCCGCCTTACTAGCTTTGAAAATCAGAGTAAAATTTTTGCTTTTATTTTCGAAAGGTCGTGCGAGCTTGGTTTTCGAAAATACTAACTGATTGCGGGATGTAACAGATTAAAACTTACTTAACTTGCTCACAGACATATATAACACGCAACCAAACTATCCGCTACGGATAATGGAATTAAACATGCAATGTCTGAACTGTCTCGCACTGTCTAGTCTGCTAGCGGAAGCGTCCGAAATACAGAAATACATGCATACATATCCGAAAATACATGATCTTAAATACTAGGACATAAAATGTGCATAAAAATGTCCAAGACTCTCATGACCACGCTTTGCCACGTCTATGCTCACCCGGCACGCTCGACTCCGTCTCCTGAAAAACACAAT